TGGGGTTTCCCATTTATAAATGTGTGGCGGGTACATTATCAACTTCGTATGCTCTAACTGTAGTAAAGTAATAGAGGGCGTACTCACAAACGTCAAAGGTTATACACGATATAAGTTTACAACAAGATGTGCACACTAGTGTAACCGCGATATTCGTATTGTAGGCTAACCAGTCATCGTTCAAAGAACTATGTTATATGCATGATAATGTAAGTAAATACGTACATATGTAAATATATATATTTTTAAATATGTTGAAGTTTAATATTTACAGAATTCATACAGTCGAAATAATTGTCGATTGATGAACGTTTTTGTCAATGAAATAAAACAGACTTCCACAGCTGCACTTGTTCTGAGTTAATGAACTAAAATTTACTCGTGTTATACGTGATTTCTCCAGGTTAACAGTACCAGACCTACTTTGAGTTTAGTTTACTCCAAAGTGAACACGATCGTATCAATGGAGTCACCACAGGAAAGAACATTTCAGTACCAGGACAACCTTCCACCTTTGCCTGTTCCACCACTGGATCAGACGCTGGACAAATACTTGCAGTCAGGTTTGTGTGATTCACATAGTTTGTAAGGACAAGGTGTTTTTGTAAGGGCAAGGTTAACAATACCGTGATAACGTGTTGCAAATTATGTGTTTGTCTATGCAGAGTTATCCAGGTTAACCAAAACAAAAAGCAGTCCTGCTGTACTTTGACCGTATAGTTGTGACAGTACAGATTAGATCAATGAACTTTTTCTAAATGCTGATGTGCAGATCAGTAACTTGTATATCGATTGAACCACGTTTAAGTGGATATAACACAATATTAATGTTGACTTGTAATGTGTTCGTTTTCAGTATCTACAACAATAAGGCATTTCATGTCAGTTTGGCTTTTTTAGACAAAATATTCATTCAACTTTTTTAGGTAAACTTTTCTTTCTTTCTTTATTAGTAAAACCCCTTGTAAAAGATGAAGATTACAAAAAGACAGAAAAATTGGTAAAAGAATTTGGTGATGGGTCTGGACGACAACTACAACAACAGTTACTAGAAAAAGCCAAGCATAGCAGAAACTGGGTAAGTATGGCTGCACTTTATTGAACCTTTTCAGAACATATTCAAATATTAATCCATGATATTCTACACACATACAGAGTGAGATAAACCAAATGTAGCTTCAACAAAGTAGTCTTTGACATTTGCACTGCGTTTCCTTGAATGGTCGCGGAATGCTCTTGACATTTATTGGATCTGGAAGAAAGTTTGACAGTCTAGCCATTATAGCCTTGACACCAGTCTACCAGTATGTGTGTGCTACTGGTTGGATAGTGACTGACATCGATATGATATAGTGCAACAAAATTGTTGTTAAATGAGAAGGAACACACTTTGTGTTATCTTTTTATCCGTACATTAAGGAAGACGCCTACTCATAATTTTAGAGAAATTTTGTCATAAATGGCAATGACAATGTTCATTGGGTTATTTGGTAAAATCATGAAACTATTGCTCTATGCTATAGCATTCTTTTGTGTTTTACAGTTACGTATTTTGACAAACTTGTCCTAATATTTTTAAAAATATCTATTTTAAGAACAATTACATACAACCATCATTTTCTCAAAAATTAGGTTGATGACCCCCTATTTTTTTTAAGTCAATATCCTTATATTGCCCGGAAGTACAAATTTATTGGAAACTAATATGACCAATTCTTATATATGGATGTGAAGTATGGGCTGAAGAAAGTTTATTCAACTTTACGATAGAAGATCTACATCTCAGCTTCTGTCGCTTCATCCTAGTTGTATCAAAAAGCACTCTGAAATTGGGAATTTATAGTGAGTTGAGTAGATTTCCTACATGTATCTATTCATTTTATATATCATTGGATTACCACAATTAATGATGATAACAGACAAAACACTAATACAAAAAACAAACTGAGGACATACAAAAAATTTAAAACAAGTTTTATCTTGGAAAACTACTTAATAAAGCTAAAAAATAAAGAACTGAAAAGCACTCTAACTAAATTGAGCAATTACAATTTAGAAATTGAAAGAGGAAGGAAGACACAACTGAATCAAAAGTAGCAACAGAATCTGCAAATTGTGTAACAAAATGATATTGAAGATTTCCTTATAATATGCCCAGTATATAATAAGAGAGGATCATTTTACACAAAGAAGCTGAAAGATTATTGCTGACTTAAATTCATAAAAATAATGTCACATAATAACTTAACAATTCCTCTGGCACAATATCTGAAATACAGCTTTGTTATTAGACAGCAGCACCTACTTAGTCATTGACTTTTTTTTAGCCCCCGCCGGA